AACTCTATGTACATCACTTTTTAAAATGTATGTAATGCAATCTAAATGCTATTGTAACTTGGTAGTGTCATCCATCCATTTGAAAAACACAATTAGCTCTTGATCATTTGGAAATTTTACGTCATTCTCCTTAAACTCATATGTTGTGTCAGTTATCAATTTATTCCCTCTTATCTCTGAATGCATTCTTCAATGTATGCTCTATGAGAATAGAAAAAAAAATCATGCCCTCTTCACAAGAGAGTTTACGGGCATGAGGGCAAGGATCATTATGGATGGGCATGAAGGTAATTGTAGCTTTTTTTCTTGAACAAAAATATGGAAAAATGTTAAGCTTTGTTCTAGGTAATAGGTAAAAGGGTATTCATTATCTTGTTTCCTTTTTAAAATTTTGTATTTTTAAATGTCAATATGATCCAAGTTACAAATAAATGCATGTTTCTGGACTGACAGGTTTATAATCCTGGCTGAGTCAAAAATTGACTGTCTTAGTCCATTTTATGCTTTTATAACAATATCTGAGACTGGGTAATTTATGAGAACAAAATTGTTTTTCTCACTGTTTGGAGGCTGGGAAGTCCAACATCAAGACACCCACAGACCAGGTACCTGGTGAGGGCCCAGTCTCCACCTCCAAGATGGCACCTTGAACACGGCATCCTGGATCCAAAGGAACACTGCTGCCTCACAGAGCAGAGAGAGAGAGCTAACCTGCTCCCACTAAACCTTCTTAACAGGGACATTTGTCCCTTCATGAGGACAGAGCCTTTACGACCTCAATACCTCCCACTAGGCTCCACCTCCCAACACTGTTGATTGGGGATTAAATTTTAACTTCTGAACCTGGAGGGGACCATAGCAGTGACCAAGGCAGGAAGATAGAATATTGAATCTTGGCTAAATTTAAAATGTGACCAAGGGCCAAGGTGGCTCACTCCTGTTGTCCCAGCACTGTGGGAGGCCAAGGCCAGTGGATCACCTGAGCTCAGCTGAGTTCGAGACCAGCAGAAGACCAGCATGAGCTGGAGTGAGCCAGAGTGAGACCCCGTCTCTACAAAAAAAAAGCCAGGCGTTGTGGCAGGCGCCTATAATCCCAGCTACTTGGGAGGCAAAGGGCGAGAGAATCACTAAAGGAAGAAAGAAAAATAAATTGAAAGGTGACCAAGATAGGAAGAGAGAAAACTGCCCTGCTACTGTAACTCATGAAGAGTGTATCCCAGTAACCTGAATGGGACTCAAAGGTCTAGTGAAAGTTAAAGACCAGTCTGGCTGTTTGTAGGGCAGTTCTAAACAGATGATGCAAAATATGTCTGTGGGGAGGGAAGGGGAAATACTGGTCAAAGGTACGAACTGTCAGTTATGAGTGAATTCTGGAGCTCTAACGTACAGCATGGTGACTGTGTTACAATGTACACTTGAAATTGGCTAAAAGTGTTCTCATCACACACCAAAAAAACAGGAACTCTGTGAAATGAGGGTCATTTTTTTTGAGACAGTCTCACTCTGTCACCTTCAGTAGAGACCGATGGCGCCACAGTTCACAGCAACCTCTGACAAGATCTTGGGCTTAAGCGATTCTCTTGCCTCAGCCTCCTGAACAGCTGGGACTACAGGCACCCGCCACAATGTTAGCTTTTTTTTTTTTTTTTTTTTAGTTGTTGCAGTTGTCGTCATTTTGCAGATCTGGGCCAGGCGGGGTTCAAACCTGCCTGCCTTGGTGTATGTGACTGGCACCCTGCCCACTGAGCTATGGGGACCGCCCATGAGGGACATTTTTAATCATTTCACAATGTATGGGTAGATCAAAATTTGTTCCACATTTTAAATATATACAATTTTTGTCAACTGCACCTCAATAAAGCTACAAAAATGTCACTGTAGTTGACTTTGGCTCTATCAAAATTTAAAGCACTATTATCATTAGAGTAATACTCATTTTATTGTGGATATTATATAAAAACAAGTTCAGCTATTGGAAGTGTACCTAAGGATCCAGAAATAAGTATCAAAGACAGCTGGATTAGTTCTTCACTAATGCTTCAAGGTGTCCCATTCAGAAGAGCCCTTTCCACTTCCTTTTTTTAGCTCACTTTGTCGTCTTGTCCCCATAATTTTAACAAGCCTGTTCTTCTGGCTTCTCGGTCTCCAGTAGGTGAGAAGGGGGAGGCAGGGTGGCTGTGAAAGGCATGGAAACTCACACACCTGAAAGGGACAACGTAACTAGCCGTAGCTATTTGTGGAGCAGTTTGAAACAGACTTTTGACAAGCTGAAATACAGAGCAATGAGAAATATTTGTAATGACCGAGTTAGTGGGACATTTAACACATTTTAGAAATATTTCTATCCAAGATAGGTAAGAAATAAAAGTTTGTGTTTAAGGGCAGCGCCTATGGCTCAAAGGAGTAGGGTGCCAGCCCCATTTACCGGAGGTGGCAGGTTCAAACCCAACCCCAGCCAAAAAAAAAAAAAAAAATTGTGTTTAAAAAGAATAGCCTTTAATTAATCAAAAGGTAAATTCTCTGAGAAAACAATGGATGAATTAGCTAAGAAATACCATAACTGATAATGTATTAAATATTTACTGTGTGCCAAACACTGTATTAAGTACTTTACAAGTGAGTATTTTCTCGTTTAATTCTCACAGCAATCCTGGAGTAAATATCATTCCATTAACTATATAAGGAAAAAGAGATAGAAAAGTTAAGAATCTTGTCCTAGGTCATAAAAATAGTGTTTAAGGATTTTAAACCCCAAAGATAGGACCCCTACATTGTACATCCTCTATCCTGCCATTCCTAAACACTACAACTACCCTGCTTTGGGGCAGATACTACTGGTATAGATAATGTATTACATATAGATAATAAAGTTCCATACATATTCTCCAGTATTCTTGCTGTATTTCTTGAAGTTGAAGTGCATTAACTGCCCTTGGTATATCTGGCTATATCACCAATTTTACCAAATCACAAAGCAACAAATCATGCAGGTATATGAATTTATGTCTAATATAATCTAATGGATATGTATAATTTTAATTTTTTTTTTTTAGACAAAGTCTGACTGTTACCCTCAGTAGAGTGCTATGGTGTCAAAGCTCACAGCAACCTCAAACTCTTGAGATCAAGCAATCCTCTTGCCTCAGCCTCCCAACTAGCTGGGACTATAGGCGCCCATGACAATGCCCAGATATTTTTTAGAAACTAAGTCTCTCTCTTGCTCAGGCTGGTCTCCAACTCTTGAGCTCAGGCAATCCACTTGCCTCAGCCTCCCAGAATGCTAAGATTACAGGCCTGAGGCACTGCACCTGGCCTTTAATTTTTAATAAGTACTACATAGTTCGTTTGTAGTTAGCCTACCTACTGGTAGGTAAGATAACTATAAAATTAGGCACTACCTTGTAACTTTTTCTGAAAGTTAAGAACACTACTCACCTAAGGAGATACATTGTTAAAGACTGTGAAGACTATAAGTCATTGTGTTCATTTATAAACATCTTTGCTGTATTTGTGGACCCCATAAATGGAGGGCATTTTTTAAATGTTCATTGATGATCAAGTTATAGTTTTGTTAACACATTAGGGGACTGACTTGATTGTGTTTTCCATTAAAATGAATAAAATCAATACCCTTGGTATCTTGTAATCCAAGGGGTCATTCAGATAAAATTTTTCTGATAGTCTAGTTACTTAGCTCCTTTCTCCAAAGTAAGGAAACTAAATTCTCTTTTGACATAGTGGATTATTTGATATTTGCACTAACAAGTACACTACAAAGGTATTAAAATACCAACTAGATAAATGAGACTTTAAGGTTTCTTTGCATAGTCCTTTTAGTTAAAAGGACTCTGAGGACAAACTATTGCAAAATGTAAAATTATTGCAAGTATTTAGTGATTTTAAAAACAATCAAAAATAGGGTAGCACCTGTGGCTCAAAGGAGTAGGGAGCCAGCCCCATATACGAGAGGTTGCAGGTTCAAACCGGCCCTGGGCAAAAAGTGCAAAAAAAAAAATAATAATAATCAAAAATAAACACAAGTTGACTTAATTTGCCCTTCTTTCTCTTAGATACCAGGTTCTTACATTTTTCCATAGCCCAGACTCTTAAGGCCTGTGAAGCATTACTAAAGATTCAAACAGTATAATAAATTGGCTTTTAAAGGGAAAGTTTTCCTAAAACAAAATAACAATGACTAAAAGATTTAAGCAAAATGCAAAAGGCTCTCTAGATCTAATTATCAATTTATAACAACACAAGAGACGGAGGAAATGTTAAACGATGCCATGGAGATGTAGTCATCAAATGACCGAGGAACTACAGGAACAATAACCGGGTTTTATTGTAAAGTCAGTAAAGGGAAGAACAGGTGGAGGATAAAGAGCTCAGGAGGCCTAGCAATCAGACACAATATTTGGACTTTACTTCGATACTAATTCTAACAAAAACAATTTTAGGAACTGGGAAAATTGACTGGATACTTGGTTGACATTAAATAACTGGCTGATGATGTCTGATGATGGTAAGAAGTTACTGGGATCGTAAAATGTGGACACTTGTAGTTTAGTTTGTTGTTTCCATGAGGGGCCTTGTCTTTTAGAAACACAGCCTGGGTTCCAGCCCAGGTAGCTTACCAGCTCTGCCTGTAGCAGAGGAATATTTCTATTTGTCCTACTTAATCACCAGTGTGCTGTAAAGCCACTACAAAACTTAAAAGTCTTTTAAGAACTAATGCATATGGGTGGCACCTGTAGCTCAGTGGTTTGGACACCAGCCACATACACCTGGGCCAGGGCCTGCTAAACAACAATGACAACTACTACAAGAAAAATAGCCAGGTGTTGTGGCAGCTGCCTATAGTCCCAGCTACTTGGGAGGCTGAGGCAAGAGAATCGCTTAAGCCCAAGAGTTTGAGGTTGCTGTGAGCTGTGATATCATAGCTCTCTACTGAGGGCAACATAAGGAAGACATTATCTCCAAAAAAAAAAAAAAAAGGCATACTGCAAATATTCTCACTGTTCTGATGTTGTAAGTATCAAGACAGGCTAAATATTCACTATATAGAAACCATGCATGTGTCCCCAGACCTAGTTCTCTCCTTAGGTTTGATTTAATAAATGCTGGTGATAAAAAAAAAACCAGGTCTAACTTATTACATGATCATTGTGTGTGAGTATATAATGGCTATGTTCCAGGTTATCTTTTGTTGACCTTAAGAAAAATGATAGCACAGCTAATGTAATAACTTTTCCAAATAATCAACACTAATTTTCAGACTTTTGTCTAAAGGCTGAAAGTAGGGAAATTTGGGGATTCCAAGTCGTCATTCAATGAATTGTAAAATTACTGTATTTTTATCTTCTAAAAAGAACTAATGCATTTATACAAATTTAATATGTGACTATCAAATGTCATGTTTATCTATTAAAACAGATACGAAATTAAAGTGTCAAAACTAGTTTTAGAGTTGAAACATACCGTAAGGTATCATCTTAATTTTCTTATTTCCAAGCTCTGCTGAACTTGGATATTTGGGATATCCAAATCATAGGAAAAATATTAACATTGCCACTAGAACTGTTCTGGCTTACTAGAGCATTCCAGGAAGAATTTTTAAACACTTTAAAATTTATTTTCAAATATTAAAATTTTTCAAATCTTCTCAAATGCTGTTTTAAATGGTTCACACCAGCTGACCACTACCTGGAATGAGTCTCCTAAGCACAAGAAAAATCCTGTTCCCAGTCCTCACTTTTGAGGATGACAAATGCCATTCCATGTAAGATTTCCTAACTCACACTCTTTCAAAGACGCCTGAGAGAGGAATTATCTTTGCACGTAGCCCAGTTATGCTGGCTCTTTGTAATTCATTTCTGGTAATTCATAACCTGCTAAGAAGCAGATGAATACAAAGGTCTCCTAAAACTAGGCAGCAGCAAGACAGTCAAGAAAACTAAGTGATGGCTCTGCGCCTATGGCTCAACTGGCTAAGGCGCCAGCCACGTACACCTAAGGTGGTGGGTTCGAATCCAGCCCGGCCCGCCAAGCAACAATGACAGCTACAACCAAAAAAAAAAGAAAGAAAACTAAGTGATGAGAAGATGCCAGAAAGTTAAAACAAGAACTGAGACAGACTGATGCTCATTCCCATGGATAAAATTCCTTACCACAACAATGCCAGAAAGATTAATAAAATCTAAGCAGGAAGGTTCTCACTCTGAGGTTAATCCCCTTAATTAAAATGCATTTCCCTATTTTGGCACAAATTATTTTGATTTATGGAGGAAAAACCATGCCAAAGGATGTTTGACTGGGAAGGGGGATCAAAGGCTTAAATTTATCAGAAAGGAATGGTGTGGGTTTCCATCACTCATGGATCCACTCTTTTTTTTTTTTTTTGAGACAGAGCCTCAAGCTGTCCCCCTGGGTAGAGTGCTATGGCTTCACTGCTCACAGCAACCTCCAACTCCTGTGCTCAAGCGAGTCTCCTGCCTCAGCCTCCCAAGTAGCTGGGACCACAGGCGCCCGCCACAACGCCCGGCTATTTTTTGGTTGCAGCCATTATTGTTGTTTGGCGGGTCCAGGCTGGATTTGAACCCGCCACCTTAGGTGTATGTGGCTGGCGCCTTAGCCGCTTGAGCCACAGGCGACGAGCCCATGGATCCACTCTTTTGCCCACCCTGATGTATCACAAAGTTTTCTAAAATAAATACTGTAAACAATTTCCCCGCATACTTGATGTAAACTGTGAAGGTTTTACAATTTGTCAATCTACGTTCACTCCCCTAGGTAATCTCATCCATTCCTGTGGTTACCTTCATGTTGATACCAAATTTGTCTCCTTAGCCCTCAAGAGCCGCCTCCACTAGAGAGTACTTCCTTCTTAGGGTCACATCTCCAGCACTCGGCAGGACAGAATCTTGATTTTCACCCCCTCCAAAACTTACTTCCTCCCTAGTTTCTCACATTTTCATAATTGACATCATTAGTCACCCAGTTGCTCAAATCAAAAACCAAGAGTCATTCTTTTTTTTTTTTTTTTATTTTGAGACAGAGTAGAAATGTCACCCTCGGTAGAGTACCGTGGTGTCACAGCTCACAGCAACCTCCAACTCTTGGGCTTAAGCAATTCTCTTGCCTCAGCCTCCCAAGTAGCTGGGACTATAGGCGTCTGCCACAATGCCTGGCTATTTTGTTGTTGTTGTTGCAATTGTCATTGTTGTTTAGCTGGCCCGGGCCAGATTCAAACCCTCCACCCTTGGTGCCATAAGCACTGTGCTATGGGTGCCAAGCCCCAAGAGTCACTCTCAATGCCTCTTTCTCTCACTGTCCATGTCAAACCCATCAGTAAGTCTGGCTCTAAAGTACGTCTGAGAGCCGTCCCCTTCTCTCCCTTCCCCATCTCCTCTGGCCACCATTCACTCTCAGCTGTACCATTTCAGTGGCCTCTCAGTTTCTTCGCTTCCACTCACTCTCGCCTTCAGTCCATTCTCCACACACATCTGAAAGTAGTTTTCATTTTATATAAAGTCAGGTCATATACAATTTTCACTAGCCTCTTGTTCTTAGAATGAAATCCTGACTCCCTCAGGCTGACAGGATGCGGCCCACCACTTCCTGACCTGACCTCACACCACTCTCCTGTGCGCACTCCATCAACCACACTGGTTGACTTTCTTTTCCTCAAAATAAAAGCTCATTTCTTTCTGCACAGAGCTGTATGTGCAGCTGTTTTCTCTTTGTGGGATGCTATTCTCCCCCATGGACATGTTTTTCATCATTCACAACTCAGCTAGCAACTCACCTCATGGAGGCAGCTTTCCGGACCACACACTCCTATCCCGTTTTCCTTCCCTGCAGAGTGCTCTCTTCGGCATGTTGTTTCGGGCTGTGAGAGGGCAGACTGGCTGTGTCTTGTCATTCACTGCCTCCTGTGCACTTAGGAGAGTAACTAGCAAATAACAAACCCTCAGGATACATTGGTTGAATGAATGGCATATATATATCAATCTTTGGTTTAGCATTCATATCACCACATACAGAAAACACTCGAGGGAAATCAGGTGAGAACATGGAATCTGGACTTAAAGGAATGTGGAAAGACATGAGAAACAGGCTTAAACTGCAAGGTTTGAAATACCAGTGACAAAGCAGCAAAATAAGGCAAGCTTTAAATGGAAAGGAATGGCAAACATGAAGTTGTTTGGATGGACATCAGTGCACACTGGGTTGGTCAGCCTTATCGAGAGCTTTGTGTATTGGCCAAAGTTAAACTCTACTTTCTTATGAATAGCTATTTCCTGGTAAGGCACTAATGATTAGCAAAGGGGCTGGGCATTATGTACAGGCTTCTCTGGAGATGTGCAGGTCCTCCTTTAAACCACCGCAATAAAGCAAGTCACATGAGGGCAAGCACAGTGGCTCACACCTGTAATCCCAGCACTTGGGAGGCCAAGGTGGATGGATTGCTTGAGCTCAGGAGTTCAAGACTGGCCTGAGCAGGAGCGAGACCCTGTCTCTAAAAACAGCCAAGCTTTGTGGTGGGCACCTGTAGCCCCAACTACTTAGGTTAAGGCAAGAGAATCGCATAAGCCCAAAAGTTAGAGATTGCTATCAACTGTGATGCCATAGCACTCTACCAAGGGCAACAAAGTGAGACTCTGCCTCAAAATAAATAAACAAAATAAAGTCATACAAATTTTTGAGTTTTCCAGGGCATATAAAAGTTATTTACACTATATTGCAGTCCATTAAGTGTGTGATAGAATTATGTTTAAAAAAACAATATACATACCTTAATTTAAAAAGACTTTGTTGCTTTAAAAAGCTAATAATCATCTGAGCTTTCAGCCAGTTGTAACCTTCTGCTGGTGAAGGGTCTTGATGTTGATGGCCACTGACTGATCAAAGTGGCCATCTGCTAAAGGCTGCAGTGAGCACGTGCTACTGGGGAAAAACAATGCTGACAGACTTGCTTGAGGCTGGTTTGCCACAAACCTTCAATTTGCAAAAACACAAAATCTGCAGAGTGCAATAAAGCAAAATGCAATGAAATAAGGCATGCCTGTACAATGTTTGTGGTCCTTACGTTCTACAGTTATATGACCCTTTTCTTTTTAATTTGCATCATTCTGTTTGGGAATTTTGTCAGACCCACAGAGTAATATTATATGAAACAAAAGTTCTATCTTGTAAAAAAAAAAAGAACTGTTTGGCCATACTAGATGTTAGTCTAAAATGCTGCTCAATTAGTAAAGAGAGTCCAATCCTTATTTAGTTACTGTACCTAATTGTAAAACAGCATTTTTAATAATAAACTAGGAAACATTTTTGTCACTAAACATCCCCTTATAAGATTGAAAAAAAAAACAAATTCTCTTCCTACTTAGGTCACCTTTGGCTTGAAATGGATATGCTTTTCACTTAATAAGACCTAAAATGTGCCATGATTTTCTGTTTTCACAAATTGTTTATTAAACCAAATCATAAATCTTAAAATGCCAGAGCTCTCAAATTTTCTTTACATTTGACATATTTAAGTTTTTAAAACACCAAATAAACGCACAGGATAAGATAGCACGGTAACTTATCCTGTTGAACTCATTTAAAATATTTCAGTATTAAAAAGTACCGTAGGCCAGTCTCAGTGGCTCACACCTGTAATCCAGCATTCTGGGAGGCTGAAGCACACGGTCACCTGAGCTCAAAGGTTGGAGACCAGAGTGAGACCCCACCTCTAAAAACAGCCAGGCGTTGTGGTGGGCACCTGTAGTCCCAGCTACTTGGGAGGCAGAGGCAAGAGAATCATTTGAGCCCAAGAGTTTGAAATAGCTATGAGCTATGACGCCACAGCACTCTACTGAGGGCAACATGTGAGACTCTGTCTCAAAAAAAAAAGTACTTTAGAATCAACTTGTCTAATTCCCTCATTTTACAGACAAATTTAAACTCACTTCAGTTTTCACTATTTCTTACTTTTTTGTTTGTTTTAGGTTACAACCAAAAAGTCATGTAACTAAAATAACAATATGCAACTTTAAATAGCCTTCCAGAGACTGGCTTTTTTCTCTAAGCCAGATTCGTAACTCATAATCTCACAAGCTCATGAAAGTTATTACATATTCAGTTATGT